TGGCCTGAGGATTGCAGTAGATTGTAGATCCACTGGTCTAAGATCCCAAAGGCTAGTTGCTACACAATTTACTTGGTTTCTCAGTCCCACAACACAATGTTTCCCAGGGTGGGCCATTCTGCACCCTGAGGGGTGCTGGCACGATCCACGGGACACTACAAAAGCAGATACCTACACTTTATCTTGGATTCTGGGGGTGCTGAGGGTTTTTTTTCTTTTTCTGAAAAGGGGACAATAGGCCAAATAAATTTGGGAATCTTTGTGGATGTATATTCAAAAAGTCCATGGAATCATCTGGGCTTTAGAGAGAATGCTTTCTGCTAGTCAGTATCAATAATTATTGCCAAGAAACTATTAGTCAGGCACCAGGCACTCTGCTCAATGCTGGGGATACAAGAATGAGTAAAATGGGCTCACTGAACAAAAAAAAAAAAATGGGCTCACTGAACTCAGGACTCTCAATTACTTATTAAGACAGGAAAAAGCCAAAAGTACAAGTAACAGACAGAAGTCAGTTGTCCCCTAAGAGATGTTTCAAGTGCCATGGGGTCCTGTGAGATCACCTTTTTGCAGAAAAGCAGTGCGACCCCCAAACTAAAGGACATCGCCCTTTTGATCGGTGTCCTTCTCAAAAAAGCTCTGTAGGAGACCAAACGCTAACATTCAATGCAAAGCAAAGCAGAGGTGACAAGGGACACCTGGAAAGGGAACAACCCTAGTTGTTGAGAATGTCGGCACCAGGTGAAAACGTATAGCGTAGCCAACGCCACTCATCCATTTGCATGGCAATTGTCAAAGGGGAGCCGGACTTGCTGCATAAACTTTCACCAAGTACACACACTTTTCTGTTTTTTTTAAAGACGACATGGGGCAGTGTGCGGTGGGGCTTTTGATAAGGTACAATTATGCACCAGGTAACATTCCTGGGCAGTCATAATTTCCTAGCCCTCAATCCTAGATTAGATCATAACATTATGCACCAGGAAGAGGGGTTCTAAAAGACACTAGGTTCACCTACCAACTCCAGGGGGCAGCGTCTCACTCAACTGCAGCCGAGAAATGTAACTTTTAGGTTTAATTAGTGGCGAAGAGCTCAAAATCCTGAGACCAGTCATTCTGGTCAGATAGAGACGGATGGGATCTCCAGATCTAGAAGCAAATACACCCCCATTAGAATAATCTACATTTAGATCAAAAGGCAGCAGCTCCCCAAGGGCCAAGTTTAGAGGGTAGGAAGGAAGGAGGAATGGCAACAAGAAACGCAGGGAGAAATGGGGTAGGCGATGGTATGTGAGGGGAATCCAATGGCTGAATTAAAACAAAATGTGTGTGAATGACAGAATATAAAACTGATGATCTGCTCTATCAACCTTTTCCTCATTCACAATAAAAAGTTTTTTAAAAATAAAAGGAACTCGTGAACTTCTGGAGTAGGAATCCAATGGCTGAATTAAAACAAAATGTGTGTGAATGACAGAATATAAAACTGATGATCTGCTCTATCAACCTTTTCCTCATTCACAATAAAAAGTTTTTTAAAAAAATAAAAGGAACTCATGAACTTCTGGAGTATTATTTAATTGCATACAGAAAGCCTAGCCCTGAGTAGGAATTGCTTTGGAAATAGCCACTTAAGCAAGGGCAAGTTAATAAGAAACTGTGTCAACCAGGAAGGAAATGTAACCATCAATTTATATTTGCTTTTACAACAGGAATCCCTCCTAAAGATGTTCTTCACGGGCAGATCTTATTCATGTAGCTTGCTTTCATATCCCCAAATGTAAAAGCCGTGAATGTGGCAATATAGTACCTAGTCACTACCTGCCTGTTCATGGATTTTCATTGATCTTCTGTCTGGTTTTTAATGGGTCTTGTTTCCAATTTGGTTGCTATTAGCGTGAGTGGGTACTAAAACTCACTGCCATCAAGTCGATGCTGATGCATAGTGACTCTGAAGGACCAGGTAGAACTGTCCGAGTTTCAGAGACTGTCACTCTTTACAGGAATAGAAAGCTCCATCTTTCTCCCAAGGAGCAGCTGGTGGTTTCAAACTGCTGGCCTTGCAGTTAGCAGCCCAACTCGTAACCACTGCGCCACCACAGCTCTATGGGGTAGGCCACACTTAATGCCACTTGGGCATCAGTATCCCTATTTGGTGTTCAGGTGCATGGTTTACTCCTACTGTATACATATGGCTGCTGTGAAAATAGTCACCACACTGAGCTAGGGGCAGCATGTTGTGTCGCTGGGTCAATTCCAACTCCTAGCACCCTATAGGACAGAGCATAACTGCCCTATAGGGTTTCCAAGGCTTTATGGAATCTTTATGGCAGCAAATCACCAGATCTTTTTTCCCGAGGAGCTGCTGCTTTCTGAGTTAGCAGCTAAGCACCTAACCCTCCCTATCCGGTGACTTCAAGAGCTACACATCACTCTACATCCCTAATTAAAAGCTCTAGTAACAAATTCTGCAAATAAAATGCAGTCATTCACCAGCTCACGCTTCAGTTATCAGGACACAGAGGAGCAAAGGCACTGGACAAATGAATGCTTTTGAAGCACTGCTGGCATCTACTAAATACATGTTTTTTTAAATCCTCATAATTGTGGTTGCTTCATGATGCACCATTCAGACAAAATGTGGTTTAATTTGAACAGATTCTATCAAAGGAGGGGAGGTTCTTGTTAAGCTTCCGTTTGGTCTTCCAAACAGATTTTTCAAAGCTCAAATAATTTCAAGGCACTTAAGTTATCTTATGAAGGAGCCCTGGTGGTACAACAGTTATAAGCTGGACTGCAATCCACAACGTCAGCAGTTCGAAACCACTAGCCACTCCTTGAGAGATGAGGCTTTCGACTCCGGTAAAGAATTAATCTCAGGAAGCCACAGGGACAGTTCTACTTTATCCTATAGGTTCACACTACGTGTCCACATCAACTTGATGGCAGTGTTTTTGTTTTATTTTGTTTCAATTGTTTTACATTTTATTAAAGCCAAACAATTTGTTTGAGTGGAAATTTTTCCTCATTCAAAATAATAGAGAACCAGCAATTAGAGAATGGCTGAGAATTAAGACTAAATAAACAATAAGTAATTCTATTTATATCTGAATTTAAACCCTTCATAAATTCAAATAACATTCACGAGTTTACCCATTGTTTCCCAAGGTTTGGGATCTGTGCCAGTCCTAGTGTGGGAAACAATTTGATGTCTCAGGACATGACATGAAATAATACCACCTCGTAATGGGGAAGTTGTCATTCTTTCAATCCTTTAATTACATGTGAGAATCTTTGGCCTGGATCTGTAATGTTTCTTCAACATGGTTGACTTTTTTAGCAAAGAGCAAGCCTTAAGACTCAAGAACTGCTGCTACAGGTAACATTATCCATCAAATATTTAATAGCATTGCCCTGTTTCATTGAACTTAATCTTATGGTGGCCATTAATTTATGATGATGGTAGTTTAAAAATTGGATATGGCCAAGTCCATTCTATTTGTTCTAAAATAATTCTTTTAAAGGCCAACAAAGTTGGAGGATTTACATTTTCTGATTTCAAAACTTACTACAAAGTTAGCGTTAACGACGACACTGTGGTAGATATAATGACAGGCGCGGAGATCAATGACACTGAATCCAAAGGGAAAGGTAGAAATCTTGATGCCTTGTGCCTCTCTAGTATCCTAAGGGGGGGTCGGCTTCCACTGTAAGTGTAGTTACATCATGGGTTCCCAAACTTATTTGATTTACTGCCCCCTTTTCAGAGAAAGAAATCACTCAGCACCCCCACCACGCCCGGCAATGAAAAACCTTGTATGATCGCCCACCGTGCAGGAAGAAGTGTAAGGTAGCTGTTTTCGCAGTGCCCGGGATCATTCCAGCACCCCCAAGGGGCGATTTTGCCCATTCTGGAAACACTAGGCTTACATAACAGCAGTGTTATTTAAGAAGCCAATTCAAACAAGGATCTGTATTAAAATCTGCAAACTAGAACTGTACATCTAATTTACTTATTTATGCCATTTCCCACCAGTGTGCATCTCTTAACAATCATAGAATATAACCCTAAATTAGAATATCAGTGGCAAAAATATTTCCACACAATAGCTTTAAAAAAAAATAAATATGGAGGTCAAATCCATAATTTCCATTGGCCTTCAACCTTTCTAGTGTCCCATAACTATAAAACCTAAACTCACTGCCACTGAGTTGATTGTGACTCACAGTGACCCAATAGGACAGTCAAACTGCTGCTTTGGGTTCCCAAGACTAACTCTTTACAAGGAGCAGCAAGCCTCATCTTTCTCCTGCAGAGCAGCTGGTGGTTTCAAATTGCTAACCTTATGATTAGTAGCCCAATGTTACTATACCATCCAAGCCCCTTCCATAACTACAGACTTATTTTTCTTTCTTTTTTTAATCGTTTTATTAGGGGCTCATACAACTCTTATCACAATCCATACATACATGAATTGTATAAAGCACATTTGCACATTCATTGCTTGACTTGTTATTTTTCTTAACTACTTTCATTCTCTTCACTTCTTAGTCTGCGTTAAAATACAATTTGTCCTCTTACTATTTATATTTGCCTAGTATTATCATTGCTATCAGTCATGTTTCTCTCAGGTCACAATGCCAACACATTCCAAGTGTTTTATTCCAATTTATGTTCCAACTGGGGAGTGCAATTTTGGACTTTCACAAGGTGTTCAAGTCTCAGCTGTCTGGATCTTTACAATAAAACAGCACATCTCTTTAAAAATTGAAGTTAAACAGGTAAAAAAGATGATATCTACCACTCAGAATTAACATTAAGGTTCTTATATTTGTTTATATGCTTATGATTTTTCCTTCTTTGCCGGTGTGTATCAGAGCAAATCCTAGATATCATGCCATTAAACTATATATCTCAGTGTGCATCTCTTAAAAGGGTAGGAATATTTTCTTAAGTCAGTTTATCATTGCAATAGTCATAACAGAACTCACAGACAATATTCATAATTAGGGGTTTATTAGGGTTGCAATTCAAGGGAGAAATGCTCATGATCGTTGTTCAGTCAAAACAATTTCTCTGCAAACTTCTAGACAGGCCTCTTTCTGGCTCTCAGCCTCTTGGCCTGGTCTCTGCCCAACTTGGGCAATGTTACAGAACTCTTATGGCTGCCAATAAATGCTCAAAGGGCATGCCACTCCACTGTAGGCCTCAACCTGACGTTACTCAGCTCCAGCCCCATGTGGTCAACAAACCCAGCTCTTCCAAGTAAGTGCCCAGAGGCAACCCACTCCACAAGCCAGCCTCTTGCCCTAACACACTTGTTCTGTGGGCTGGGAAGTCCACCACTCTATCTCTGCCCTGTCTCCGGTTCTGCGACAGCTGCTCCTCTGGTGACAAAGCTGCCTCCTGGATCAAGGAGGTTCAATGAGCAGGGATCTATCTCAGGGTCCAGAGGATGCTCTCCACTCCTGGATCTGCTCTCAGGCTGGAGTGAGGGCCTCCCTCCTCCTGCTTCTGAGACCTGAGCTGAATGGCAATCCCAAGTAACCCTGTTAACCCTCACTAACAACTGAATCACATCCTCCCTCCCTCCCTTCTTTACCAGACCCATCAGGGCAAGTTTGGGGATTTTTGAGGCGAAACATACCTTATGGGAGTTTAGTGCAATGAGAGTTACCAGCACTGTTCTGGAACAAAAAGATCTAGTTTTGAAATTTTCAGTGTTTTGAAATTCAGGTATTGACACTGGGTCAAAAACTAAAATTGGGTCAACTAAAATTGGGTCAAAAACACTCAAGACCATTACTAAAAACTCAGAGTATCAAAATGCCTTTGTATATTTTAATTAAAAAATTATTAATAAACAGCTCTCCAACGTAACTTAACATAAGAGCACAGAGAAGGAGGTTTGTTTTCTTCAATGAGACAGATCTGACAGATTTAAGCATTTGTAATTAAGACAAAACGAGCTTAAGTAGTTCATATTTTCCTGCCTCGGGATTAGTAAATGCCTTTGGAAGTGGCTGATAGTACCACTATCTACAAGAGGGAGAGTTGACAATTGGATGGTGCTTCCTACATTGTACAATGTAAGCGAAAGATGCAATAATAGTAATAAATCTTAGTGAAATGCTACAGGTGTAGGTGAGATGGTTTTCTCAGATTTCTACCAATGATTACATATTTGAGATATAATTACCTCTAAATGTAAACTAGTTCAATATAAATTCACAAAAAGACCTCTGCAACAAGTTGTCAATGTATTAATCTAATTCTGTATTTTAGGATAGAACTATCTACCTAGAAATACTGATAAATCCAGAAAAAAAACTATATATATTCGTGTACAAGCCGTTTTTCCGCACATTTTTAATGCAGTTTTTGTGGTAAAATTAGGTGCCTCGGCTGACATTCAGGCCAGCTTATACTCAAGTATATACGGTAGTTCCAAGTTAAATTATGTTTAAAAGTTAAAAGGTTTTCGGAAAAAAAAAGCGTAGACAGTAAACATTAACTACGTGTCAGTTTTTTTGGTAAGAGTAATTTCTGCACAAATAATATTCTTCCGTAAATCTTACAAAATAGAACCAAACACTCCTTAAATGAACCTCACACATCTAAAGTAGCCGAGTAACAAAGTCAAAGCCATTCTTGTTATTTACACATTAACTTGCTAAGTCAAATTGCATCTTAAAACAAAACCAAAAACCTGCACCCGCTGCTGTGCAGAAGTGAGGACAGCTTTTCAACACTAGGTCTAACGAGAACGCCTCACGGTTTGTGTTTTTACAGAAATATGCACACCAGGAAAGTACAACAGAATACCTCGCTCACAAAATTCCCTAGGAGCAGCATTAAGCGACAATAAAAGTTCGCATTCTTATTGCTCAAGAGATGGGCTCTGGCCAGTATTAAAAACCAGTCACGCTCGCATCTTCTGAAGGGGAAATGACGAAGAAACATTACAGCTATCTCGGCACACAGAATCGCTGACGAGCTGTCTGTTGTTCAGTGAAGGCCCATCTAGTCTGTAATCTATTTGAGAACACGTGTCTTCAGCTCCCAAGATAAACGGAAGGAGTCTATGTATCCAGACTGATCCTCTTCCGCAGTGGATACCATTTTCTTTGAGGACAGTCTTTGGGTCTCTTTCTTCTCTGCACCACGTTAGTGGTTTTCCAGGCGGCGGTCTCTGGTGGTGTGGTTTCTAGTTGTGCTAGAAACCTCTGGGGTGTGCCGTCTGGCTTCCTGTCGCAACAGGAAAAGACTTCTTGATGGACCCTCTGAAGCTGAATAACAGGCTGCATCTTTAAAACTTGGGAAAATCCATCCGCTTGTTCAATTAATGCAGGCAAACACTGTGAAAAGAAAAACAGTAACACTTTTAAAGCTAGTCTCCGTTCAGAGGCACAAGCAGAGACAGCTATAACACTCGGGAAGTTTAATCTTTGAGTCAGCCTTTTGCTGAGACCAAATTTGGGGGGTCATGAATATGCAAAGCTATCTTCCTAATTCTAGTTAATAGATGAGCCATTTTAAGTGAAAAATAAGATTAAGAAATATTGGGGGTTCTTAAAATGTTTTGGTGGTGAAATAAAGCAAAGTAGGAGGTGATAGAAATCCAGAGTTAAGGGACAAATGTCTAAATGAACTTTCATATACTAATTTTAGGATAATTGGCATTTGAGAAATCTCTATCATTAAGAGCAGAGCTCAGTATAATTCTCCTGTAAAGGTCCACATAGGAAATCTTTTGACTCTGCAGGCCATACATACTTTTCTACCACCGCTCCTCAACTCTGCTATAATAGCACCAAAACGGCCACAGCCAGGAAAGCCAAGGACTAGATGTAACTAGACCTCAGTAAAACTTCGTCATGAACACAGGCAGTGGGCTGCATTTGGTCTAGCTAAACAGTTTGGCAGGGGACTCAGGTAAAGTTTGGGCTGCTAACCAAAAGGTAAATGGTTCAAACCCACTAGGCCGCTCCACTGGATAAAGACTGAAGCTGTCTGCTCCCATAAAGATGTCCCGTGTAGGGTCGCCGAGAGTTTGGTATCACAGAACACCATGGGACCATTACAAATCACACAAGAATTATCACCAGAACAGAGGAGGTCCTGGAGAAAGACTTTATAAAAATCATTTCCATATAGTAGAAACCCAAACGTTTTCCTATCGAGGGTAAAGTGAATTTCAAGACTACAAACAAACTGACGACAGTACTGGTAGGACTCCTACAGTGGCTACGGCACAGTGGGTTAGGCGCAAAGCTGACACATGCACCACTCACTGGGGGAAACAGAAGGCTGTCTGCTCCTGTAAAATGGCACCATCTCAGGAACTGGAAGGATATGTAGTATGGTAGATAGTGGTTAGAGCACAGTTCGGGCGCCAGAATTCTAGGGTTCAAATCCTGGTTCGGCTACTTAATTGGGCAACCAACTTCACCTCTCTGTGCCTGCTTCCTCATCCGTAAAGTGCGAAATAGCAGTATGTTATCTTGTAAGCTCACTGCAAGGATTAAATGAGATAATCCATGTAAAGAAGGGAGAAGGTGTGTGTGTCTGACCCATACTAGCGAAAACGAAACACTGAATCGTATGGGCCCCTAACACAGCACCACTGGCGAGCACACAGAACTCTCCGCAGAGCTCCAAGGCTGCACAGCTTGGCAGAAGCAGACTGACGGGTCTTTCTGCTGCAGAGAAGCTGGAGGTTCAAACTGCGGGCTTTTGGTAGCAGCCAAGAGCTTCAACCCATGCCAAGTGCTCAATACATGCCAGCTATATTCTATCTCATCAAAAGTTGTTTGATAGGCTGCTAATACTCAGAATTCAAAGATATATAATAACTATCTGGTACGGAGTAGGTGCCTGTTAAGTGGTAGTTAATCCAAAATATTATTGTCATTTAATAAATTCATTAGAGATCTCTGAAAGACTACTGAGAATTCCTGCAGATGTTCAAAGTATCCTACCTAGCCATACATTTTGTTCATTTTATAAGTTGTTAGCACACAGCTTTTACCTTCATGGCTTCCCCAAGCTCCTTAGCTATTGTTTTCCCTCTGTGCTTCAAAATCTCCATACGAGAGGCTGCAAAGAAACCACCAAATAGTATACTTCAGGTTTTTATTTTTGTGTAATACCAAATCATAAAAGATTTGCAAATACTATTTGGACAAATATATATTAAAACTACTCACCTTAGTCCTTCTTAGAATGGTCTATAATCTATTAAAACAAGCATTTTATTACATTTATGTAAGTAAAAAGGCTGAAAATATTAAAAAACTGAAAAAACCCAGTAGCATAAAACCCAAGGTTCTAAGCTTAAGATGACAGAAAACAAGAAATCCATGAGTAACCTTAGAATTGCGTCCCATCAAGAGAAAGCATGATGCTCATGCTGTTAATTATCCATGTATGCTTCAAATACTCAAGCACTACAGCCACATTGGGCAAAAACTGGAACTCACTTAATTTTTGCCTTACTTTCAATCTTCAAAAAATAAAACATATTTGAACTTAGAATACGTGACTATACACTGACAGAAACTACACCTCAATGAGTTTCTGGGGGGGAAATATCTGTAATAAATTTATCAGTAACATTGACTTCTCTTTCCTTACTTTCTTGATACTTTTCAGACTGCTCAGATACTTCATTTTTTCCCAATCTTTGTTATAAATGATGGAATTGCTCCTGGCTATTCCGTAACCAGATTGCAAACAAACCACCCCTGGATTATGAATGCATACCATTACTATGCTTGTCTGTAAGTCGAATATGTGTGTAAGTCAAGACAGTTAAATATGGCTTTTATCTATTGTCAGTCAAATAAATGTGTTGTGGTAAATAGTGTTAGTGAACCTTTCTATACGAAAAACACTAAAGAAACACTTCCACATACACCAAAGCATCCGTAACACAATAATACAGAATTAACAATGTTTCGATACGTACGCCTCCCTTCTTTGATATTATGAGTCACTGTATGTACTTCCAATTTGTGACAGTCCTGATGTAGGCTATTTCCTCACTATTGGTTGAAGACTGCCCATCTGTAACCTGGAGACTGCCTGCATTCAGTCAATGACCAAACCAAAGAAAAGCCAAACCGCCAAACTCCTAGCGCGTCTGCTGGAGGACAAGGAAGGACTGCTCCCGGGGTGCCGAGGCTGCAGCTTTTCAACCACTATGCTGCCAGGGCTCCTAAAAAGCCTCTATGTGGGCTGGTTTATAACTATGGGTTGTATGTAAGCCTGTCCATTTGCAACCTGGAGACCTTATTCAATGATAAAATTCGAACTAACTCACAGCCATTGAATCAATTCCACCCTGCAGGACAGGGTAGAAACTAGCCCTGTGTGTTTCTGAGACTGTAACTCTTTATGGGAGTAGAAAAACGTCATCTTTCTCCCATGATGCAATGACAAAGAAACAGAAAAATTTTACTACGACTCTGAATACAAGTGGAACTAAGAAAATCCTTTCCATATGGAATCATTTATAAATTAGGTTTTTAGAAGACTGGTTCTCACGAAAACCTTTTTAAAGTCAAGTGTACAGCTGTTAGATGGGACATAGAGGTTAGATGGGGTTCTATGGGTTTCTGCACACTGGTTATGTACACGGGACACACTTTCCATGCAGACACATAGCCAGGTTGAAGGTAAAAGGAAGAGAAACAGGTTATCTTCTGCAAATAATAAGCAATAGAAAGCAGGGGGTGTACCACTAATTTCAACAAAGTAGACTTTAAGTAAAATATAGGTACATGAGGCCAAAAAGAACATTATGTGTTGGTAAAAGGGTCAACCTATCAAGAAGATAAACAATTATAAACATACTACATATATAGCAAATAGCAAGGTCTCAAAATCCACGAAGCAAACACTGGCAGAATTTAAAGAAACACTACTTCTGGAATAATGTTGGGAGAGTTCGGTATCTCATTTTCAATATGGATAAAACTAAATAGAAAAGCATTCAGAAAATAGAGGATTTTTAACACTATGGTAAACCAACTAAAGGATAAATGAGTCTTGGTAGTACACCAAAGGTAAGCATTGGGTTGCAAATCAAGATGATGGTGGTTCAAGCCCATCAGCTGCTTCCCAGGGAACCCACGAGGTGGTCTGCTTCCATAAAGAATGACAGTCTCAGAAACACTATGGTGCAGGTCTACTGACCTATAGGGCTGCTGTGGGTTGAGATCAACTCCATGGAAAGTGGATCTCTGTGTGCATATAAACCAACGACATCTATCCAAACAAAAAGAAATGAAGTACTGATAGAGGCTACAATATGGATGAACATCAAAAACAATAAAGTGAAAGCAGTCAATAAAATAAATCAGACACAAAAGGCCACATACTGTAGTACAACTGACTCTACATGTAGATCTGGAATAGGAAAGCTCAGAGAGCGAGATCACTGATGAACAGAGGTTTATGTGGAGCGAGTGGGTGGAAGTGGAATTACTTAATGGCATGAAGCTGCCTTTTGGAGGAAAGAAGATGTTTTAGAGCTAGATAATAGTGACAGACTACACAACATATGGATGCATTAAATGCTAGGGAATTATTATACTTTAAAACGGCTTAAATTGTAAATTATATCTTATATGTATTTTAGCTCCCTAACTCTAAGCCCTACCCTGCTCTACAAACACACACACACAGACACACACACCATCCAGTTATATCCCAGTTGGCCATCAAGGATCCAGGTATTCACATCTTTATGCAGTGTTCTTCCACACTGTAACAGGTGTGGTACCTTTACAATGAGGTTGTGAAAAAAGAATGTGACTTCTGTCGTGGGCACTCATGCTTGCTCATGTGGGCTCTCAGTTCACTACCTTTGGGAGAAGCAAGCTAACACATTGTGAAGGGTTTACAATGTGTTCTAACAGCTAATGAGGAAGTAAGGTCCGCCAACAATCACATGAATGACTGTGGAACAGGATTCTCCAGCCCTAGTTGTTTCACCAGATGACTGCAGACCCAGGTCACAGCTTTACTGCAACCTTGTGAGAGACTCTAAGCCAGCCCATCCAGCTGAGCTGCACCCGAATTCCCAACATTGAGAAACAGTAAGCAAAACCAGAAAAACAAAACCCACAGGCATAAAGTTGATTCCAACTCATAGCAACCCTTACAGGACAGGGACTGCTCCCCAGGGTTTCCAAGACTACATCTTTACCAGGACAGGCAGCCTCATCTTTCACCTGCTCAGAAATGCTACGGGCTAAGAGATGTCCATTGTTTTAAATTGTTAAGTTCTGGAATAATTTGTTACATGGTAACAGATAAGTAATATAATGAGAACAATATAGTTTCAAATCTGTATGTTTAGGATTATCCTAAGAGGAAACTAAAATTCTCAGTGAGATTTATTTTTAAACAATATATATGTGTAAATAAACAGTACTATCAATGTGACTAGGAGACCTTGTGTTATATGCTGGGAAGTAACCACCAGGTCAACAGTTCAAAACCACCAGCCACTCCTCGGGAGAAAGATGAGGCTTTCCACTCCCATAGAGATTTGCAGCCTCAGAGACCCACTGTGGCAGATCTACTCTGTCCTAGTGGGTAACGATGAGTCAGCATTGACTCAATGACAGTGAGTTTGGCTTGGTTTTTCATACAAACAATACCAAGTGTTGCTGAGAATGCAGGGCAATCGGAACTACCAGACTTGCTAATCTAAGTGGAAATCAGTTCATCATTTTGGAAAATTTTTAGTAGTGTCAATAAAAGCTAACTCATAGCAACCCAAAAGAACAGGGTAAAACTGCCCCTTCAGGTTTCAGAGACTGTAACTCTCTACAGGAATAGAAAATCTCATCTTTCCCCTGTGGACTGGCTGGTGGTTTTGAACTGCAGACTTTGTGATTAGCATCCTGATATGTTAACTCACTGCACTACTGGGGCTCAACTCAATGGCAGCGAATTGGATCAAAGCTAACTCTTCCATGACTCAACTTCTTGATATGTATCTGTAAGAAATACGTCTAAGAATGTTCATAGGGGCTTTATTTATAATAGACAAAGCTTACAAATAACATACATAATAATCAATAGAATAAATTTCTTATAGAGACACAGAATACTATACGGCATTAAAAGGGTCTGCTACACTCAAAACGTGGATTAATCTTCCGGGCCTTTTTTCTACAGTGCCACTTATTAGACTCAAACTACCAACCCAGTGGTAAACACAAATCATGTGACCTATCCAAGGATCTACAACAAGAATACATATTGTATAATTTCATTTGCATCTATTACACAAATGGAATTATACACCATGTATGCTTATTTTTTAGTATTCTAATTTTTACATTCTTTAGATCAATGTGCTCTATACAGTATTAATCCACTTCTAAGAAGCTCAAGAAGTGACAAAACAAATCTATGTTGACCCAAGTCAGTGGTCACCTCTGGCAGAAGGAGACCATTAAACAGAAATAGACATAACGCAGCCTGTTGAGGTACTGGAAATCCTTAGATATATTTGAAATTTAGGAGGTCCATAAAGTTGGAAAACAAGGTACCATAGATACTTCTGTATAAGCAGAGCTTTCCAGCACATTTTAAATGCGCTTTTTATGGTAAAATTAGGTGCCTCAGCTGATATTTGGGTCAGCTTATACTTGAGTATATACAGTAAGTATGTTTTGTTATATTTTCAAAGGAGATCATTTTCTTCGACCTCAATATAACTTTTCAGATAAAATACTTCTCAATTTAAAGCAATGAGTCCAACTGTTAAATCTAAAAATAAAATATACTATGTTCCCAACTTTCTAGACACTCTGGATTATATTGACTGTATGTATGAAAACTTACTGGGTACCTTATCTGACAACATTGTATTTAAGAATGTCTATTTTACCTTTCCCATCTCGTATGACCATCAAGGTGGCAATTACCCAGGAATGTGTGGGTTTAAATTCATGGACTTGTGTCCTATATGATATCCCTCAACACGCACATACACAAACTTCTTTCAGTATGACCTTAGAATGTTTATTTCACTTTCATATGTACTTCACTGCTATTGTATGTTGACAAAAGAGCCT